TGCAAAACCAGTCAGTTGTAAGCGTCAACTTAAACGTATCACTTCATGCTTCTTGATAGTGCTCTCAGATAAGTATCGGAGGTGTTAATAAAGGCGTAGGACAAAGTCGTATGTTACGTATATGCTCTTCATGGTATATCACGAGTGTGCTGAAAAAGACAGGGGAAAATAGGAGGAAGGAAAGTAGAACAGACGACTTGCATAATCATCGAATTTGAGCCATTTGTGATGGAATATTAAGATGTGACTACTTAAACATATGACCTTCAGTTAAGTCAACACTCGAGCAAGTGCATTTCAACGGGTTAAAAAAAAACAAACCAAAAGTGTGGAAACGAATCGTCAAAAGGGTGAAAGCTGAAGATTTGATATTCTCTGTTTGTGACGATTTCTATTTCACTATTATTATAACCTTTACACAGTTATGAGTTGTCTCATATTTAGTGTAATTGTCGATTTTTGACTGAAGTAAAATTTTTCGGTAGGAATTGAAATTCTTCAAGGTTTCAAACGCGAGTCAAAGAGGTGTTTAGCATGGGAAATTGACATCCATACCATTGGCTAGTTACATCCAACTAGACTAAAAGGAGCCGTACGTTTACAAAATGTTCTACGCTGAAGACTTGGGTATATTGAGGCTATCTCAACAATATCATATCTGTTGGTCAGCGACGTCACTCTCCTTTTTTTGGTGTTTGGTTCTTTTACATTTGTGGCATGTTTGAAAATTTATTCATTTATGTTTCACACCTTTATTGTAATACAGCATCTCTACTAGTTCCGTGTTTCATGTAAATCAGACGGCTGAGGCTTATATATTATGGATTAGGTATCCATTTATTATATCTTAATGCTGTGAAGTTAACTAATAATATTAATTTTAAGGTACTGGTCAGATGATATGTAGTTAAGCGTTGATAAAAATAGATTTATGGTTAAAGAATATGAAAGTAAAGTTGTTTGGGGTCGTGAAATTTATGAGTAAGGCGGCAAATAAGTAAGAAAACAAAACAGCTGAATGCTAATAGGTCTGAAATACTAAATTTTTGTGCTGAGAGAACATAAAAAAGGAAGAAATCACAATTTAGGTTAGTGTGAACTTACTATGTTCAACCGTAGTCGAACAGCATTCACTAGAAATATAAACTAAAAAGGGACATAGGACTTTGTAGAATTATGGTCTAGCTTGTTATTAGTACTGCTATAATGATAGACCTAAGTGTAAAAGTACAGATTTGTCATGATGTGAACAGTTAATCTACAAGGCCTTACGTGGAAGACACATCATTGTCTATTGTGACTCGTTGTGCTGTAACAGTCAGCAATATAATGTTTGGCGTTTACAAAAAGCACATCTAGACTCTAGATAAAACAGTTTATTTAATGTGAATAAAAGAGATAAGTTAGGCAAGAATGACCACGCCTGCAGGGCTGAGCCATCAGATTCAGTGAATGAATTGCTCCCACCTCGATTGTTGGCTTTCTATCATAAAAGAATTATGTGGCTCTAAACATTGGTGAAACATCGAGTATGAATTTGAGAGTAGGGGCATAAGGGGATGACTAATAATGAATAATGGAAGGAGGAAAACCATGTGTTTTATCATCCGGTCACACATATATGAATGAAAATGGGGTCCGTTATATTCACATTTGGTCTAGACTATAGGTGGTTCATAGAAAGTGCCTCAGGGTCGGGTAAAATTATGATAATAGTTGGTGAAGCCTTTTAGAATCTAAAAACAGTGTTATTAGTCTTTAGGACTCGGAGATAGTGTTATGGATGCAGATAGGTAATAATAATAATAATATATATTTCTGCATGCGCAGGTACACGCCATTTTTACAGGCATGATCTATAAATTACAACACTTGTTGGTTCACAAAATGCTTCGCAACTTAATATGTTTATAGTTGTTATGAAGCATACTCGTGGGGCGCTTGCTGAGAGGACACATACGTCAAGTTTGTTCCAGACGTCAGAAGTTTCATAGCTGTGCCCTCAGAGCAAATTTCTGAAGAAGAAGGAAAAAAGAAAAAAAAGAAAAACAGAAGAGCAGAAAGGCACTTGGATATGAACGCCAAACGTTGCTTAACATTGTGTAGTAGAAAGGACAGAGGCATAACAAATTAGAATAGATTCATATTATATCTTGTTAGAGTGAGATGAAGTCAGAGGCTCCATATTAGAGAATGTAGTAATAAAGAACAATGATTTGTGTCGTTTAACGAGTTGTAGTAAGCTCACATGAAGGAAAGGAAGTCAAGGCTGGTACAAGGAAAGCGGTTTATTAGAAGGGTGTGTATATAGAGGATGAAGTGTTAAGAATACTAATGACTATGTATTTTGTTGTCTAACTTTTTTCCTTTTTTTGTTTATCTGATGCCAGCCACACAATCCTAGCGTAAAAGTCCGAGTTAGCATGTTATAGGTTGTCTTAGCAAAATAACTAATCCAGCATGATATTGGAAACGTGAGTCTGGGTGGTGAGCGTAGGATATTGGTAGCCTGTTGCACAATAAACTATACCACATTGCAAAAAATTTCTACGCATTGGTTTCCGGTGTTTCAAAGTTAGTAGCGTATACCCATTGCCACTGAGTCTATATGACGGGACATTATTTCGTAGAAAGATATAGAATTGTTCCTTAGCCAGCGGCGCCATAAAGGTTCCAAGGGGAGGTCCGTTCATATAGCTGTGTAGTCAAGAACGAAGTAACATCTTAGCGGTCTACTTGTGAAGCCTGTTCAAACATCTAATTGCATCTCGTCTAAGATATCCATGTTTGGGAACACAGATAAGTAGTACTCAAGGGAAGTCGTATATGTATTTTGGAAAGGTTAAGGTTAGCCTCCGTAGTGAAGCTGCAATATAGTCCACAACTTATTTCACGATTTTACGGTGTGGTTCATCCACTTATAATGATTTTTCCGCGTCTAAAGTGATAGAGGCCTTTAGTATGCGGTCCAGATTAAATACCACTGTGAGTAACCGATTACATGGCTTGTATTTGGGTCTAGTTTTATGTATGGAAAAGGTTCCCAAGTGAAAACTTTCCCGAAATAGTTCGCCATAGCCTGCTTTGTTTCGGTTTCCCTCTGTCATTTGTGGCGTACTTCTTTCCGTAACTAGATTGGGAATCCAATAATTATTTTTCTTATGTAATTTATGGCTCTTTGGCTGCTTGACCAGGATTTAAGTTTAGTTAGGAGGGATTCATCTATAACACATTCTGGACTGTAGTATACTACAGTTAATTAAATGTCTTGTTCTGTACATTACAGTCAAAAGTGCACCGGTTGGCACGTCCCTTAGTCGTATGCTACTGTTTCAACAGCTCGTATGGTCAAGGGGCTTCTCGTATGAAGAATGACCCTTTTGGGCTGATGGGCAAACCTCGTTTTATCGATAGAAGAAATCAGACTATTGTTCAATAAATTTTTATTTCGGTGATGGAACAGAACAGTCAGGGAGTGGAGATATTTCTTTCAAACGCAAGAAGATTTTCCACATTCAATATAAAATGGGATATATAATGCCTACACTGGATAAGGAGGTGTGTGAATACTTGGACCATAATGTTTTGACATTCTAAGATGTTTGATGCCTAATCTTAACTATTTAACCTAAATTGTTGAGATTCCACCACTCACATGGTCTAGTCTGTCGTCCCTACAAAGTTAGAAACCGAGCAATTGAACTTCACTTTCATACAGTTCTGATGCTAACTCTGTTTCTGAGATGGCAGTGACATTTAGGGTTTTCTGTGTCCACCACAGTTTGGAGGCCAGCCATTTTACTTGGTAGGCTGCTGGCATTTGTATAGCATACATTTAATTCTGCCAAAAACGTTTCCGTACCGCTCAGAGTGGTCTCGAAATGGCTTTGCTTCAAACTTCTACGATGTGAAAACCCATAAAAATAAGGTTCTTCCCTATTCCTGCGGTACTCATATGGTATAACCTCATCCGATCGTCTCTAAATCCGATCAGCTAGGCTGAGGTCTGCATATATTCCAGACCCACTCAGTTTGCGTAAGTTTTCCCGTATTAGGTCTCATTCCTCAGCGGAAGTTAAAGTAACTTTTAAGATGCCATTTTCTTGCCTACATTTGGAGTCCGCCTTCGTCTTGTTTTACAAAGCTTATGAGCGCTGACGCCTTCTACCGTTTCTACAATATTTTTGACCATGTATGACCAGCTAAACAGCTTTTAAGTAAGAAGACAAAAGGTGGTTTAGCACTCCTATTGAAAACCATATTCAAAATATTACATAGCAGATTCATTGGAAACTTGAAAACATTGAGGCTAAATGTGTTTAACTTGTAAAAATGCCACAAGAATTTGAAGTTTGACAACAGCTTAGCCAGCAACATCTTTTAAAATCGGACCGTGCCAACGCAGTGAAATCGGAAGTCAGAAGCTAAGACGCTTGATTATATATTCGATAGAACATCGATATACCGAGAAGTGGATAACCTAAGCTGGCTAGTGGTTGTAGGAAACGTGAGGCACGGCGTACTCACTCATGGTCTGGTGCGGATGCATGAACGAGTTCCTTCAGCTAGGTCCATTAAAACTAATGCGGTCAGCATCAATTGTCGAAGATTTGCAGAGCTATTGATTTTAAGGATCACTCACCTACCCACTAGTGGGGTAGTAGTGACCCTAAGAAGTGGCCAGTCAGAAGTTTTTTTATATACCGCTACACATTGAATAAAAAACATTTTAATCTGCTGATTAACATGAATACATGAGTGCAGCATAGACAGTGTCCTATACTAGGATGCAATTACTAACCAGTTAAAGTACCATCTGCACTCAAATACGACAAGACTTGACAATGTTGGTTTTATGAGTATCTTATGGTAAAATACCTCAGTAGTGACATAGAAGAGCTAATAATAGTTGGTACGAACAGTGCATTTGTTTCGTATGTAGACGTGGTGTTTTTATCTTAAATTTTGGCTGTATATTTGACACTAAGTATATACTAATTAAAAATCTTATTTTTCGATGGTTAAGATCATGATCGCATACCGTTGTATACGAGGGATGTAAGGATCTCAAGGTCGTCCACTTTGCTGAAGGTGGATAGGGTGTTTGGCTTTATATGTATTTGGGTTTAGTATAATGGTTTGTCATGCTAGTTTTACTTCGAACTTAACTGTGTTCGCGTAAACTAGATAATTTATGACTAAAAAGGCGTCTCTGTTTGCCCTACAATCCCAAGCTGCCGATTTTGGGGAAAATTCGGCTCATTTTGGGGGAAATTTTGAAGAAGCCGCTATATTAAATTTTGGGAAATGAGACCTAAACCCCAAAATTTCCCCAAAACCTGGGAAGATACCCAAAATTTCATTTTAACCTTGATCAAGGTCATTTGACTTTGGGGATTTCTCCAAAGTTCCCCAAAATTAAAAGCTCGGGATTGGAACTAAATGTGATGATTAATTCCCGAATCAACTCACAAAGGGGAAATAAAGGCGAACAAAGGGGGAAATGCCTTGGAAAATACAGAGGAAATAAGGGGGAAACGCGCTAAAATGTCTGCTTTTCCCCCTGTCCGGGGGAAACAATGCGGATTTTCCCCATTTCGTTGCTCTGTTTGTCAAATGTCGCTGAGTTGTCTACTTTTCGCCTAAATATACGCAGAATCCTCTGCTTTTGCTTCGACGTTTAAAACGCCAAACCCCAAAGGTTTCCTATATTCGCCTTTATTCCCACAACGCACCACACTGAAACTGCAATCCACGTGAAAAATAGTATATATTTAAATAAGTTTATTGAAAAGAAAAAGCGTATTATTATACAATATTATGGCAGAAGCTTGGGCATCAATCATTATGCATTTTCACTGTACTTGCCGATTCATTGTTATTTGAAAAGATCTACAAAAGAAGAAACCGGTGATTTATTACTAATAAGGCATGTATACTTAATTGCAAGTTCACTGAAAATCAAACAAACTTTCTAAACACTTGAATAAGGTTTACCATGAAAGTAAGAAAGTAAGCTCGTTTTCAAAGAAAAATGTTTTTAAAAAAATAAGTTGAACATAAGAAATATTCCACGGATTATTTCTTCTAGCCACGCCTGTTTGGCTACTGAAAATCAAAATGATCTTCTTGTGAATTCTGGAGTGTAAAAAAAAGAAGTTAAGATATCTGAGTGACATGCTTTAGCACAGCTAGCTACTTGAAGCTTCACTTACGGTCATGTTCGTTAACACTGTCGACTAAACCTATAGAGCAGTAGGGAAGTTATCACTTTAAATTATTGCATACCTGTCCTTGTTTCCTTCTATTACGCTTTATTAATTTGTCTCCGACATCGTGAAAATAACCTTGTGTCGCGATATCGTACAGTTCCGCGAGGTTTTTTTCGTTGACAGATGATGACAAAAAGCAATTAGTCAATGCACCTAAAGTTTAAATAATAGATATAGGTTACTTCGTATGCAACCGTGGAACCGGCATTTCTGAGGTGCTCGTTTTGACGAAGTGCCAAGTAGCGTGAAATTACTGGCAACCTCAGGTGTCATGAGGTACGACAAAACATATCGCATTGAGGTTTTAGGATCATTATCCACTAACCTCGTTAACATGGCCATCTGTAATATGAAAGAATTATAAAATTAATGTTTTTGACTTATAAATCTGTCCCTGGTTTCTTTCTGCTGCAAACCAGTGTCCAACATCTGCAGTTCCCCTTCAGATGACAAAGGGAACTGCTGACTTGATAGTCCGCAATCGAATTGATGCGGATGTTCGCGGTCACCGAACTTTGATAGTAGCAGCTTCATATTTGCATTTAAGTCAGTAATAGCTGACGACATCTTCTGCAGCACTGTATGCAACCTATCAAATCTGAAAAGCTTCACTTGATCGTACAGGTGACTTGCTCGGCCGCTAAAGCACTGCCTATACGCTTAGATTCTGATGTTGACGGTGATGTATCTAACTGTGTCGAACTAATTAATTAACATCTAAATAGTAATGAAACGTACTTGGAAATCGGCGAGGTGACGCTGTCAAACAACCGAAATTTTGGATATTGTACGTGGCTATTTCCAGCCTGCATCTCGGCCACATCCATGTCTACTGAATTGTAAAGAAACTCTTCTTTACGCTTCAGTGCACTTCTACGAAATGTTGGCAAGTTAATTTTACTGATCTCTTGGGCTTCTCAGTGTTTATTGGCAAGGTTTTTTCTTCCATTGAACTGTTTTTACGGTAAAGATCCAGTATTTGGAAGGAAACTGACATGTCCTTTGCAGACTGCAGACCATCTATAGTAAATTATAGTTTCTATGTTTGTTACTCACCGAATTCGTGAGTGACTTTACATTTCAGAACTGACCAATCGTCATCTGGATATCGACAAGCTCCGTTGGATAAAGGCAAAGTTCTTTGCCAACAATCCACTGCTTGGCTGCTATAATGAGTTGTTTCGTGCTAGGTACGTCAACAATGACGTATTGTTTGTTAGCGGGCTAAACATAACACAAGAGGTAATGAAATGGTTTATGATACATTCACATAAAAGTATTTAACAATGGAACAATAACTAAATAATGGATACAATTAATGGCTATACATTGACAGTCAATGTCCTTAACCGCTTCCCATGTGTGTTCATGGCTAACTACGGCGCACATAAATATTCCTATATTACTGGATGGGAAAAGATCTTCGAAGTAATTGCGTGGGTTAGTGAAGGACCTAAATTTTAGTAGTCCGTTCTCCCCTATATCAGTGACTAAACCAGGCTTTCCGTTTACTACTACAACATTATCAGGCTTAAATGAAGTTATTTTACTATTCTTAAACATAATTACTTGTTTATTTGAGTCCTCGTTAGCGGCTATTTCGGTAGTATTAATTAAACTGCTAACTTGAAGCCTATTGCAGAAGAACATTTTCTCCGCATAACACTGGGCTGCTTGCTTTGCAACAGCATACCCTCTATGCACAGATTTTTTTATTTGTCTCATAAGACTCAAATAGAAAGGCTGAAAAACGGTCTAAAGGTCCATGTGCACGAACACCGTCAGGAAGGTGCTGTAACAAATGAACATTATAAACCAAGTTTTCAGACCCATAACACCATTCGTATTCTTTAAGAAAGTTCCCTAAATTCATTCTAACGGATTCTACAACGGTATTGTGTAATTTAGGATGTGCAGGCAGATAAACGAATAACGCTAAACGCTTGAAATTAAGATACAAAGGTTGCGGCAATGTGTTTTGCAGAATAACTGGGCCTAATTATAAAAGGAACAACCTACGTTCCGAAGCTTTCCATACCGATACGACGTCTAGTATACGGAAAGCCTGACATTTCCGCGCGTTTCCGCTTTATTTCCTCTGTAATTTCCAACGCATTTTCCCTTTTGTTCGCCTTTATTTCCCCTTTGTTGGTTGATTTGGGAATTACTCTAGCACGAACATTACTAGGTATGGATTATTACCGTGGATCGTTATTGATACGTTTTTATAGACATGTACATGCATCATGCAGACAGCTAAAGTTTGCAGCACAACAAATGTTGTGTGAGGTAAAACTGTCATTTTTGATGTCTATTTTGTTCTAAAGTCAGTACTAACAAACAAACCACAGTGGGTTATTATCTTAAAATCATCGCTTGTTATTGTTTAAATCCCTGTGAATAGGAATTGGTGTCCGAAACGTTCCGCCATTATTGTAATTGTTATCACTGCCTGTACGATATGTATGAAGACAGAACCAATTATGTAGTTGGTGGTTATATCTCAGAAATGCCGAATAAAGTGCTGAGGTCAACCAAAAAATGGTTAAATCATTCTCCTTTGCTTTTCACCATTATATCATCCTCTCAAGGTAAAATAAAAGACGTGATACCATGAAAGACTCATTTGAATGAAATAAACAACATTGGACGTGATATCGTCGTTTTTTTATATTTCACTGTGTACTGGTTTCTAGAAAAACCAAGTTCAAATTTACTATTGATCATTAAGGAACTCCTTCGTTCAATTAGATGGATAGCTTAAACTTCAGTCGAATATTGGCTCTCTAGTGACAATAGTTTTTTTTATTGTAATAGTCTAACATAACTGTTGCTTCACTAACTAAACCACAATGGTTAGCATTTCATTGCTAACATATTTCAGTCAGTCAGTCAGTAACAACGTAGAACTTCGTACGTACGTACGTACGTACATCAGTTCGAGTTGCCACACCACATTAGCACAGAGATGCAGTTGTCGATTCAAATCCCGTAGTGGTAGAGGTGGTAAGAGTATAAGCAGTAATCGGGAAGAATTCAGAAGATTAGAATTTGGGAGAACACAGAGAGTGGATGCACCTGCGCCATTGCAAACGATTTTGAGCCATGTCATTCAGGGTGTCTAACCATATTTACCATATTAACATATTTAATACCAGGCAAACAAAATTATCACAAATGCACACAAAAAATTAACATTATGTTAATCGTGTGCTAAAAAAGAAACCAAGAAACTAGTTTGGGTCAACATATTCATCAGAGTAAACTTTTTGAAGTGTAAATATACTAAACGAAATTCTATTGAATCGATTTAAATATTAAAGTACCATTGGACTCATTAGCTGAGTGGATAACGCGATGGCGTTTGAACCGAATGGTCCTGGGTTCAAGTCTCAGAGTGAACATCAACTCTGAGGTGCAGGTACATCCAACTGACAAGTCCCAAATAGGACGAAACGCGCGTCCTGGATTTCACTGCTAATCACTATCCATCTTTGCTTATAGTACCATTGTACGTTTAAAAAAAACAGACATGAACTTTTAATTTGTGTATATACTAATCACAATTAAATTTCTCTATAACTAAATTCATTTTAGAGTTATCTGTTTATGGTTCAAAGTTTGTATTTATAATACTCAAAAAGGTCTATTTAAAACAAACGTATTATTTTTACCTTGGTATCATGACTAATAAGGTAGGTTCTTGATTAATGTTAACTAGTTCAATGAGCTATTACCATTCGATTCTCGTCAAATAATATGTGAGTTAAAAGAATATAATATTCAATTGAAATTATTAATATTACAATTAAATGATTGTCTGTTCGTTTGGTTAGGTAATGAAGAGAGCAAATTGTCCGGTAAATCATAAATTCTCTCTACTGATATATCTTAATAATTATTCTCTATATAGGTTTATCTGTATGTTTGCCTTCACAAATATCAACATTTGATCAACATAGTGCTACAATCTATTCAGTAACTGGTACATCACGAAATCCATTTAGTGAATATGAAGAAAATTTATCATGTAAAATATCTAAACGTTTTCATTGTCCTGTATTTGTTAGTATTAGTTTACCGTATGAATTTGCTTCTTTATGGAATCATGTCAATGTAATCACACAAAGTACACTTGGTCAAAAAGTAGAATATTGTATATTTGAAAATCTTTCCACTATTGTACTTTCATGATCACTTATGTTCTTTGGTCATGTATATCTATGACAAGTTATGTATGTATTCATTTGTATTTACTGTTCATATGTTGCATTTTGAATTTTATACTCTGTGTTATACGATAATAAGATTAGAATGGCACTGTTTAGTTGCTTAGTTCGGCTTTCAATCAGTTGATCAAAGGTTCGAGACTCACTGTGCTATGATTTAAGCATCGATCAGATGTAGAAACTGGAACGTAGCTACATTGGTCCATACTTTTACATCATATCGCTTCACAGTGGGATGTAATTGTTACGTTGAATACCGAAGTGGTAGTAAAAAGTGACTACGCATTAAAAAATATGATTTTCAAGTAAAGAGTTAATTTGTGGAGTGAAAGGCATGAAGTAACTTTCAAACTGTAGACCTACGGTTACATAGAGAATAAATTGATGTATGACATTCCGACTGGTTTTGAACTATGTCACTTAATATCTCCAACCATTCGTCATGTTAATCTCGTAAACGTTAATCTCCATCTACCAAGTTGCCTCATACCAACAGTTGATGGCTCCATAGACTGATTATACGTTTTGGCATGACCACTCCTAGCTTTCTTCCAATCTATACTACCTCAGATAAAATTGTACGTCAAGGTAGCTGGTGAAAAAGCATGCTTGAGACGTCGGAACCGTCTCAGTCAATAAAGACTCACATTTTCATCAACCAGTTTTCTATTTGTGTCTGACACGCTGGATATAACCTGAACACCATTCACTCAGGTGTCCTAAAATATGCGAGTAATGCTCCGGCGACATGTACAGTCAAATACTTGTAGCTTACGAATGTCTACTACTTTTAAAGGGTAGTTTTTATAGCAATAGACTAAAATAGTTAACTTCTGCACAATATACTTACCTCTTCATTGAAAAATGTACATCTTGGCTACTCCTCAGGTGACACAAGTCGTCAAAAGCTAACATAATTTTTTCTAGCCTATTCCGGGATGTTGTCGGGACTCAGTTCGCTACAGCTGATCAGACTCTGGAGATAAGTGAGGTGATTGATTCACTCAATTGCTCCGACCTGGGCATCAAATTACTATCTCTGCCCCTCAGACACATGCAATAAATATGATTGAAAGCCATATATGCGAAATCGATACACAGTAACTGGTTAACATTAGTTTATTTATTAAGTATTTACAGATCTACAAAATATGGGGCTCGGTTAAATGCATGTTGAAGCAGAAATTCAGCCTTCAATATAAAAAACATCTATAATTGTTTTTATTACATTTAATTTTGGCTATCCTACGTTCATTTTGATTTTTGTAGAGTTTTAGGGTTTGTTTAATTAGGTTGAGCAGAATTTTCGGGTTTGAGTAAGGTTATGAATAGTTACATGGAGTTCTGACACATGTGTAAAGGTTAAACATGCACATCATTGGATATCGGCTTTAAATGCCCCTTATCTGACTCCAATTAGGTCGTATGTATGATTGTTATTGAGGTATACATGTCGAAATATATACCCTGACTATCCTGGTATATAATTATCGACTTAATCCGCGTTAATGAATAACGGAATTAAAATAAGTCAAATACGAGAATGGATTTCGAATACGTGTATTTTGTACAATCTTTAATTCAAACAAACGAGCGAAGGAACGAAGCGAAATAAAATGGTGCGCGGTGGAGAAGGCATGTGAGCCAACTCGATTTAACCAAGTGTTAATCAATATTTATAGTCAAACAAAAAATAAGCTACAGATATGTGATGAGTAGGATAAGATGTACACACACACATACGCTCATATGTAAAGTCAGGGTTGATAAGTGGATAATTTTATATCAGAAGGGGTTTTTGTGGATATTATAGTAATTTCAATGATTGAGTTCATGAGTCGATTGAAGCTAGACCACCATTGAGAACCTGTAAGTATTGGACGGCCGCTTCGTCCTATTGTGAAACTCTTTAGCAGTACATACCAACGATCCCTCTCACGAGATCCGAACCCAGAACCTGTCGATCGCGAACGCTGATCCAAAGTCAAAACGTAACTCAAAAAGAATGGGTAAATTGGCCTGTCCAGAAGGTAGAATAAGTTATATGGGTTTAACATAGTAACTGACACTATACGGCTAAGTGGTCTAGTGATTAGGCGTTTTTGAGCGAGACCGAAGGTCTTGTGTTCGATCCCCGACTGTGGGGTCTAGAACATGTCGGACTAACATTATTTTCACTGGTTGTTCAGTTAAAATTCCTATCATGTTTACACAACTATCAACATATATATGTATAAGTTGAATGAATTTATCTCTTAGATAATAAACTGTTTAAATTCACACATCTGTTACCTCTATAGATTCTTTATGATCGTTTTACATACCACAGATTATTTCTCTTTTAGTTTATGTTAACCTGTACAACAACAATCCCTTAAATTCCTCCTAATGATTTGAAAAAAATAAAGAAACTTCCTTCTTTTCAAGAATCCAGTTAATGAAGTTAGTCAAGTTAATTATCATATTTGGAATAAGAATAGGGTATTTCAAATTGATTTGAAAGATTCCTAGAAACAAAGTTGGTTTCTTTATATTTAAAAAGCAGTTAGTTATATAATATATCCTTATGGGCCAGAGTAATTTTACATTGGTTTTCAGGAGATTCACAATTTCACATGATAATCTGAGCAGTACAACTTAATCCCGGGATTGAGTCAGACACCACTTAGGCTTAAAATTTATAGCCCAAATAGTATGGCTCAATCCCGTTTCGAAAGAGAACCAGACATCATCCCGGCTTACTAAACTTTATAACCCAAGCAGTACAACTTAATCCCGCTTCATAGGAGAACCGGACACTATATAAGCTTTAACGCTACAATCTGAATAGTACAGCTTAATCCTGTGACGCAATCACACAGTTAACAAGCACCCCGGTGAACCAATATTCGAAAAGTACATGTTTTAATTAGTATGTTATCAGGATAGAATCTTGAGAATTAGATACTTCGTAAAAGTTCATATTGGATTATATCGATTCGTTCATTTTCAATCAATCAACGTTAACAGAAGAATCAAGAAGATACTAGAGATTGTTCATGTGAATTTTATACCAACTCTCATGTTTTTTTTTGTTGCTAAGATATCTCCAACTGTTTCAGACTATTAGTATCTGGGTATATCATCTTCAACTTATTCTTTTTCTAGTTGTCAAGCAATGTTGAACAATGAGAAGTTTACTTATCATATTTTTTTAAGAAATATAATTTGTTTATATAAAGAGAAAATTAAACTAAAACATACGATAAACTTATGAAGTCATCAATTACTGGGTTGAATGATTTCAAACCCATATTTAGGATATACAGGATAATTGTAATCTATAGTTGAAGATCTTAGACGGTATACGGCTCCAAAGTTGATCTGATATATATATACTTACGCCTGTTACTCCTAGTGGAGCATAGGGCGCCCACCAGTATTCTCCAACCCACTCTGTCCTGGGCCTTCCTTTCTAATTCCATCCAATTCTTGTTCATTTTTCTCATGTCTTTCTCCATTTCCCGGCGCAATGTGTTCTTTGGCCTTTAGGATTCCATGTGAGGGCTTGTCTTGTGAAGTGGGTGCTTTTCTCAATTTGTGTCCTATCCACTTCCAGCACTTCTTCCTGATTTCTTCCTCTGCTGGGATCTGGTTTGTTCTTTCCCACAGTAGGTTGTTGCTAATAGTGTCTGGTCAATGGATCGGAAGTATTTTGCGTATATATATATTCATTCATTCTATGTCTTCTACATTATTTCCTATTTTTTTCGATTCTAGATTGTTCGACATCTTGGATTTCACTGTTAACCGTTGGCCAAATCTACATAAAGATGTTTGTCAATTTTAAAGACAATCTGTTCAGAATTCACATTTACTAAAAAAAAACAAGACTGAATAGTTATAATCTTGAATATTAACAATGGGTGCATTGAAATCCTTACAACTAAATTATATTCTAAATGTTTACTGTCATTGAATTCAACATATTGGATGATCTGTCTGAGAATCAGTTCATGATCTCGATCAAAAACTTAATAATCTCCACAACCCCTATACTAGTAATCAACATGTGCTCACTAGTGACTAACTTCGTGGAGGAATTCTAGGAGTTCTAGTGAGAAGCTGTGACCAGTGGAGCTAATCCATGTCGGGTAGAAACAGGTATCTACCTCAGTACAATGGAAGATGGTCGCGCAATTTCGTAAATTGGTTGAGGTTAGACACCGACATTATTGGATGCCGACTCAGTGGTCCAGTAGATTAAGCGTTCGAGCGCGAGACCGAAGGCCGTGGGTTCGAATCCCTTCGGTGAGGGATCGTTGATGCGCACTGCCGAGGAGTCCCACAATAGGACGAAATGGCCGTCCAGTGCTTCTAGGTTTCCAATGGTGGTCTAACATCAATTGGTTCATGATCTCAATCAAAAACTTAATAATCTCCACAACCCCTATACTTATAATAATATGGTTGCATTCATTCTTTGTCTTCCCTCAAATTCATAGTTTCACAATTATCTTGGAATTAATTTACGGAATAAAAATGTATTTCTTTTGAAGTCATACTGTAGTGAACAAGAATAAAAGTGAGCATAATCGAATGTATTTGGATACAAAATTACAGAATATCTTAGTAAAATCTGTGAACCATACAGGAAATAATTCATTTGTAAAATGTCAATCAATTATCTCAGACTTGACTGTTCTTTCTGTAAATGTCAATCAATCGTCTGATATTTCATTGTTCTTTTTGTTTCTACGCCAATTATTCTTTGTTCTTTTTAATCTTCTGCCTCCAGACATTTCACTTTCGACTAACGATACTGTTGGGGGGTAATCCAGAAAACTTCTCGCAAAAGCTAAGAAAAGCTCAGCAAATACTAAGAAGCATTTTATTCAACCAGCGTTCACTACAAGTTTAGCCAGAGACATCAAGAAAGTGAAAAGTCACATGTAGAGTTTCTGATTAGCTGATTGCTATATTGCTACTATGTTTAGTAGCACTCCAGAGTTTTCGGGAAACCCAAGGACACCTAAAATACTGTAAAAACCTTATATTTTCTGTACTAAGACGAACCTTTGGAGTAAAGTGCTTCTTGTATATTTTGTGCCTTTTCTCTCGTGTTCAGGTCGCTGTGTAGTTCTAGCTTGGGGGTTACGAGAATAGCTTAGGAACCGAATATAGCGTTCAATTAGCAAGACTTATCAGATACATACTACTTATATTTGTCGAGATCACTAGCACATACCACAATACTATCTAGATTTAATCTGTACTATTACCTCTGATACTACAACAGATACTGATACTGTTCTGGTATCTGTCTTGTTAGTTTAATCCTACTGTGATAGTACAGTATGGCAACTTGGGTCGTTCCATATTTGTACCAGATTCCATATTGATCATGTCTGACTGGAGTAATGAACTATATTTTTTCTAGGTTGTAAGCAATTGTAAGAGAATTTACAAAGTATAGTCAGCTCATATGCAAATAGACTGTATTTGTACCAGCTCCCCCGTTATTTTAATAATAAATAACTGAATGAATCGAAATCTGTGCTATACTGTAATTAAAATAGTGATCTTTGGTACATGATTGAGATCATGAACCGATTGATCTTAGACCACCGTTGGCAACCTGGAAGCACTGGACGGCCATTTCGTCCTATTGTGAGACTCCTCGGCAGTGCGCATCAACGATCCCGAACCCACGGCCTTCGGTCTCGCGCTCGAACGCTTAATCTACTGGACCACTGAGTCGGCATCCAATAGTGTCGGTGTCTAACCTCAACCAATTTACGAAATTGCGCGACCATCTTCCATTGTACTGAGGTAGATACCTGTCTCTACCCGACAAGGTTCATGATCTCAATCAAAAACTTAATAATCTCCACAACCACTATACTGATTATCTTTCGTATAGCCTCATTTATCTCCTTCTGAAGCTCTTCTAGGGCCACTGCTGATCTCAAATCCGGGTAAGGGAGGAGGGTCGGGTGTGGGATCAACATCTCCAACTCGTAGAAAACAACCTTGGTAAAAAAACCACTAACTAGAGTTCCGTTTCATCATTTATGATCAATCATTCTTCCATATTTTATCTGAAAGAAAAACTTATTTTGTTTACATTACACTCATTCATAAAGTTTTTAATCCTGTGAAAAGAAATAGGTGCATTTTTACGTGTTCAATATAGAAAAAAACTATGCTTCACTCGGTCGAAAATCACCTCACTAAAGCATGCTGTGGAGAAACATTAATTCGCGTTTAGATGAATGTTTACAAAGTGGAATAAAATATTATACTACTGAATAATGAATAATAGTAATCTGTATTAATATCAGATTTACGATAGACCATACATATCCTTAACTG